GATGTTCGTGTGCAAGGATATGGAGTAACTGTCCATATTTGCGCGTTAGCCCCCTTGTAAACATCAAATCACGAACCATCCTTTAAGCCCTTGGGTATCGAACGCGTCCTTAACTATAATTTATTCAAAGCACATAGATTTGTTTAAACTTCATTGTCAATAAGTTCTTGTGACTCTTGGTTCAATTTGTGTGTTTTGACCAATGATAATTGAACAATTCTCAAATAATGTGTATTATGTATCGTTGGTTGGGCCAGGTGCCGACCAGCTGATCGACTCTTGCCCTAGGGACGAGGTGAAGATGGCCGGAGGGGCGTGTCATCCACTGCTGAAGCAGGGGCCGTGCCTGCCGACGGAGTTCGTGTTGCTGAACCAGAAGACCAACGAAGGCTACTGCGCCCCCAGGCTCTGTGCCCCGGACAGGATCTTCATCTTCAGCGACCAGTTGTGTCATGACCCTCGTAGCCTCACCCTCTGTCCTCGTGCGTAATGCAGGGCTTTATACTTTGTTTTATAAAGTAGTTGTAGTAATTACCTGTAGTTCAGCTGTAGCAATTAACTTTAGGCGATTGCTACAGCTGTAGTTGTAAGTGCTACAGTTGTAGTTCAGTTGTAGCCATTACCTGTAATTCAGTTGTACTCATTTCTTGTAATTCGATTGTGGCAGTTATCAGCAGTTCATTATATAAGCAATTCATCTGTTGGAGCAATTCTTATATAACTGCTTCACCTTATATACGTTCACCTTATACATGCAATTCATTTGCTTATATGAATTGCTTATATAAGCCCTGCGTAAGCCATATACTCCCACAATAACAAGTATACCGGGAATAGTCCGGCCTTCTTAAAACTTTTCATAGTTAAACAGTAATTTATAAACTTTTTATCTCTGCTGGTTGCCACACTTGCCATAATTGCCACACTCTTGCCCTCGAGTAAGTGAGTTGCCTCTGTCAACTATTGCCACAAGGCGATCACTGAGTCGCCGCTCACACTGTCGTTCCTGTATACATAATATAGCAAAATACAACTCGACCAAAGAACAGGAGTTGCAATTTATCTCGCAGATGAAACTGACGTTGATGATAACATTTAGTACCATTGCTTCCTCTGGTCCTCCTCTTGCGACGCTGGTCTTGGGTGTGACGGCTACACAGCGGGTCGTCAGCTGTACCACACAGCGTACGGGACGCCCGTGTGCCAGTGTCCGGACGGTACCTACGAAGGCGACGACGACCTCGACGACGACGTGTGCGAGCCCATATTGGGCCAGACCCTCACCTGTCCAGCAGGTCAGGTGAGTGTAAGGGCTAGATGGGGTGTCTATTGGGGGCTAGGTGAGGGGCTACTCGGGGCTAGTCAACCCTAGACGTTAGCCGAACCTTTGCAGCTATAGAAGGGAAAAATGTTGTGATGTGAATGAGGCTCCGGTGCTGTGGAGGGCATAGCGTTCTCTTGTGTTGTGTGGATGGGGGCTGAGTGAGTCTCTGGAGGGATCAGGGGGGTGCTGAGGAAGGATCCGGGGTGCTGTGGAGGGATCAGGCAGTGCTAACTAGTCAGTTACGACACATTTCTTATCAATGATGCTCCAGCAGGTACTGACGACTCTGCCTCCCACAGGTGCTGTGGTTCCGCGACTTCAGCCTCCCGCCGGAGTGTCTCCCTGACCCCTGTGGTGGTGAGAACCTCAACCGAGGACCCAACGACCTTCCCTTCGTCCCCTCCGCCGATGGCAAGTGCTTCCAGCTTGGACAGGTGAGTGACATATGTCACAGTGTGGGACAGGCGAGCCATAGGTGCTACCAGCTAGCACAGGTGAGCCCCTTAGGTGTCACTAGCTAGTGTAAGGGGTCGTCCGTTAAGGTCCTACGAGGATCGGTCACATTTTATCCTTTGTACGGTGTGTATCATAATGAATTTAATAAACACAATGTGTCTCGAAGCTTCACACATGAACTGATTCAGAGAAAACTATGCCTGTCGCGAACCTTGGTGGAGATCTCTGCACCATCACATCTGTACGTGGCCATTAGAATTGAATACGTAAGTGGAATATAAATATTAGGAATATTAACAAGAATTTCCATGAGGAGGGGAAGACATCGTAATTGTATGCAGGAAGTTAGGTTACGAATGAAGATTAAGAATGATTTCTCCCTGAAACTTAAGAAATGAATGAAGACTTTGTGGGGCTTGTGGTTATAGCATTATCTTCAAGCATTACATGTACGTTTAGAAGTGTCATTACAACAATGACAAAACAGCGTTTAATATTATATATATATATATATATATATATATATATATATATATATATATATTCCAAAGATTTTCTAATTCCATTAAAACAGGCACTTCTGGTGCCAAATTGAATTTAGTATCGTCAACACTGTATGCATTAGACAATGTGTACATAAATGTTTGTGTTGTATTGGGTATGAATGATTATACACTGTATATAACCCATTCCTCACACTAGCACAGGTGAGCTACAGGTGTTACCTGGAACAGGAGACTCACAGGTGTCACTACATTACTCCAACACGCCACAAGCGATTTTCCTCCCATTTGATTCGTTAACTATTTTTGAAAACGCACACAGTACTTCGATGTAGTATATTTAAGAATCTGTGCCTTTTGAGGGTTGAAGAATCAGTAAATCAGGTTGTAGTTGGTTGGGATCCATAAGCCGCAGAGAGAGAGGGCGAGGAGAGAAGTGCCCGGCGGCTCCAGCATCACCGCAAGATGCTCACGATATTGTTGAGATGCTGAGGGAAGGATGCAACGCCAAGCAGAAAATATTAGATAGGATGCAGTCGTGGTGTTAACAGATTAATATTGTTTTAGATGTCTAATTACAGTTAATATATAGGTAGCCAGTTCCGTTAAAGATAAATATAATTGTATGTTCTGAGGAATGAATCTTCTATACAGTTCTTCAGAATCTGAATTACATTCTAATTCTAATTAGATTCTGAATTAGAATCTAATTAGATTAGATTCTATTTAGTATAGAGGAATCTTCTTCTATACAGAATCTTCTATAACCCCACCGGAAGAGGTTACTAAAATGTCTGAAGACTCGGGTAGTCTTAAGGTAAGGTGCTCATGCAGGGGCGTGTGTTGTCTCTCCCACAGATGAGCGGTGTGTGTCCGGCCCCGACCTGGTACTCCCTGGCCCTGGACCGGCTCCAGGGCGTCTGTTCCACCCTCGAGGACGCCGGCTACCAGGTCTTCGACCCAGAGACCCTCGCCATTATCAACGAGATCTACGGACCTCCCATCCCCAGAGAAACGACTGCTCCCATTCCTGTACCTGGTTCACCTGGAACTCTCAGATCTGAAGGTGTTGTTTCTGAAGTCTCCAGTCCTGGAGGAGTAAGTCCTGGAGTTTCTGGTCCAGGTGTGAGTCCTGGAGTTTCTGGACCAGGAGGTGTGAGTCCTGGAGTTTCTGGTCCAGGAGGTGTGAGTCCTGGAGCTTCTGTTCCTGGAGGTGTGAGTCCTGGAGCTTCTGTTCCTGGAGGTGTGAGTCCTGGAGCTTCTGTTCCTGGAGGTGTGAGTCCTGGAGCTTCTGTTCCTGGAGGTGTGAGTCCTGGAGCTTCTGTTCCTGGAGCTTCTGTTTCTGGAGGTGTGAGTCCTGGGGTTTCTGTTCCAGGAGGTGTGAGTCCTGATGTTTCTGTTCCTGGAAGTGCGAGTCCTGGAGTTTCTGTTCCAGGAGGCGTGAGTCCTGGAGTTTCTGTTCCTGGAAGTGTGAGTTCTGGGGTTTCTGGTCCTGGAAGTGTGGGTTCTGGAGTTTCTGGTCCAGTAAGTGTGAATCCTGGAGTTTCTGGTCCAGTAAGTGTGAGTTCTGGAGTTTCTGTTCCAGGAGGCGTGAGTCCTGGAGTTTCTGTTCCAGGAGGCGTGAGTCCTGGAGTTTCTGTTCCTGGAGGTGTGAGTCCTGGAGCTTCTGTTCCTGGAAGTGTGAGTTCTGGAGTTTCTGGTCCAGTAAGTGTGAGTTCTGGAGTTTCTGTTCCAGGAGGTGTGAGTCCTGGAGTTTTTGTTCCAGGTGTGAGTCCTGGAGTTTCTGTTCCAGGAGGTGTGAGTCCTGGAGTTTCTGTTCCAGGTGTGAGTCCTGGAGTTTCTGTTCCAGGTGTGAGTCCTGGAGTTTCTGTTCCAGGTGTGAGTCCTGGAGTTTCTGTTCCAGGAGGTGTGAGTCCTGGAGTTTCTGTTCCAGGTGTGAGTCCTGGAGTTTCTGTTCCAGGTGTGAGTCCTGGAGTTTCTGTTCCAGGAGGTGTGAGTCCTGATGTTTCTGTTCCTGGAAGTGTGAGTTCTGGAGTTTCTATTCCAGTAAGTGTGAGTTCTGGAGTTTCTGTTCCAGGAGGTGTGAGTCCTGGAGTTTCTGTTCCAGGAGGTGTGAGTCCTGGAGTTTCTGTTCCAGGAGATGTGAGTCATGGAGTTTCTGTTCCAGGAGGTGTGAGTCCTGGAGTTTCTGTTCCAGGAGGTGTGAGTCCTGGAGTTTCTGTTCCTGTAAGTGTGAGTCCTGGAGTTTCTGTTCCAGTAAGTGTGAGTCCTGGAGTTTCTGTTCCAGTAAGTGTGAGTCCTGGAGTTTCTGTTCCTGGAGGTGTGGGTCCTGGAGTTTCTATTTCTGGAAGTGCGAGTCCTGGAGTTTCTGTTCCTGGAAGTGTGAGTTCTGGAGTTTCTGTCCCTGGAAGTGTGGTTCCAGGTATTTCTGTTCCTGTAGGCGTGAGTTCGGGAGTTTCTGTTCCTGTAAGTGTGAGTCCTGGAGTTTCTGTTCCTGGAGTTTCTATTTCTGGAAGTGCGAGTCCTGGAGTTTCTGTTCCTGGAAGTGCGAGTCTTGGAGTTTCTGTTCCTGGAAGTGTGAGTTCTGGAGTTTCTGTTCCTGGAAGTGTGGTTCCAGCCATTTCTGTTCCTGTAGGCGTGAGTCCTGGAGTTTCTGTTCCTGTAGGCGTGAGTTCAGGAGTTTCCGTTCCTGCAAGTGTAGATTCTGGAGTCTCTGATGTTACAAGTTTGGGTCCTAAAGTCTCGAGTAATGCACGTGGGGATCCTGGAGTTTCTGGTTCAATAAGTGCTGGTCCTGGAATTGCTAGACCTGCTGGTCGTCCGGCTGTAAGACCTGGTATATATAGTACTGTAAGTTCTAGTACTGGAATCCCTCGTCCTTCAGGTTGGACTACAAGCTCTGCTGGATTACAGCCTCTCTCTGGTATCCAAGGTCAATCCCGTCCATCATCTGTCTCTGGTGGACAAGGTTCCTCTCCTCTCTCAACTGTCTCCGGAGGCCAAGGACGGCTTAACGCTGTGAATGGCCACGGAACTCAGGGGTTATCTGGAGCACAAAGTTCCGTTAACCATTACCTGGGAGGACCCTCTCTCAGCAACGCGTCTCTGGGACACCGCCCCGGGTACTCCACGAGGCCACACAACCCCCTCGTCTCTTCGTACAGTGGTACTGACATCTCTCCACCCCACGGCAGTCAGCTCTATGGCCCGCCTTCCATGTACAGCAACGAGCGACACTCAACGGAGTCGGATGAAGTATCTTCGGGAAGAGCCTACGGTTCAACGGGACACCCGATCATAGACGTGGTGAAGGGGCATCTGATAGCAAAAAAGACGAACATCATGGATTCAATATCTGGGGCTGTCGACAACCTCGACTTTCTTAACATTCCCTTAGGCCAAAAGTTACAAGGGTTCATGAAAGGGTTAGTATGCTATCGAGGTTTTTGTATTGTTTGAGGGAGTTGTAACTCTACACTGAAAGGGGTGACACGATTGTTATATATAAAGGATGATAAAAAGAGAATATAAATGTTTACATATACCAACACGAACTGGACTGTAAAGAATACACAGGACAAAGGAAAATACATAACCTTCCCAGCCTGTATGGTTGTGTTGTTAATATTGTAGAGTGAAGGCCATTATGAGCGACCTGGTGAGTGGGCGGAGTCACCACAGGAGTCGTCGCGCCCCGCTGCCACACGCCACCCCCGGCAACGTCATCGAGACCCGACTGGTCGGTTGTCGTGCGGGAGCCCAGAGGGACATCAACGCCAAGTGTCGCGACACGTGAGTCTTAGTGTATCTCTACCTTACCTTTCTCTCTCCCTGTACGTTCTCGACTCACACTCAGGGATCCCGGGTCCTACACTCAGTACGATTCTCAGGCGATATAGAAATGATTGGGTACGTTTCCTTTCACCTAATAATACTGTTTACTTAAATTATCTGTTAACTTTACTTAACAGTAAATCTTAGTGACTTACTAAACCAGTTACTTAGCACCCGGGAATTAGTCAACTGTTATGGGTTGCATTTAGGGAAGGTCAGTACTTTGAATTTTTTTTTGTGGGTGGGGGGGTTAACTCCCCCCAATATAAGTCTAAAGTATATATACACAGAAATCACAATAACGTGATATATCAAACGAACAAATCCACAAGGGCCTTGATGAGGGTTCGAATCTATGCACGGGATGTTCCCAGATGCGCCTTAGTCAACTGTACCACGACGTAGTCAAAAAGACTTGCAACCTGGAGTACTACTGCCCTCACTAGGATCCCGAAGCCTAGTCGGGGTTTCTCACACGTCCCCCATGCACCCGGGCTCTGTGAACCAGATGTTCTACATCTACGCCTTTACTTCAATACACACAAATCCTTGGATTAGTCACAATACTGTTGTGTTTAATGACATTATATATATATTATTAATGGGTTACTCTTTGCAGTATCCTGCCTGCACAACCACTAGTCAACCGAGCAACCCGCGCGGCGCCGCCTGTGCCGCCCCAACCCGGCTGCCCCGGGGTAAGTTCCAGCTCCGTGTCCCCAAACCTGGCGGTGCATGTCGTCTCCACACCTGCCTAGGGTAGGTGTGGATGACTCTTCCCCCCATTCTTATAGTTTTACTTTTATCTTGCTTGGTAGGTATACGTGTGTGTTCACTCCCAGGAAAAGATCATAATAGCATCACTGCTCCTCGTGTCTTCCTGGTGTGATATCCTACCTCGGATATCTCACTCTCATTGCCAGCATGTAAGCTAGGGTGCACACACACCACCATCTGACAGGTGTAAATACATATAAAATCTCGCCTTCCTCCATTACCAGGTGTTCAAGACCGGGACTCATGACGCTTTTACCCCGCTACTAACGAAACCTGTACATCTTTCCTCAATCATGACGGCTGAAGCGCCAAAGCGCCACGAGGCTGCTTTTAACAATAATATTCTCGGGTCGAGATATCCTCACGCAGCGTTTCCACGCCCGTAAAATGTTTACTAAGAATACAGACTATTAAGCTGCCATGACTGAGGGAAGATGTACAGATTTCGTAAGGGAATACGAGTTGCATGAAGCGTTTCCCAGATGTGGTACAGCTCCTCCCTCTTGACAGGTGTGTGTGTGCCCTCTTCCTTATCCGTTAACAGGTGTACAGATGTGTCATTCCGTTCATTCTCTCTCTCTACCGTAGGGCCAGTCGTACGACCTACAGCGGATGTGTACGTCATCAAGCAGCGCAATCAACTCCATCAATGCCGCCGGTCTGGGATAGAGCTCCCACCAGGCTGTTGCTGCTGGCCTAATGCATCAGGTGGCTCCTTCAGTCAAGGCTCTTGTCTCCCGCACCATGGCATTCTCACTCTCTCCCCCACAGCACTAAGGTGCTCTCCCTCCACTCTCCCACAGGCTTCCGGAACTCTCTCCCCAACAGCACTAAGGTGCTCTCCCTCCACTCTCCCACAGGCTTCCGGAACTCTCTCCCCAACAGCACTAAGGTGCTCTCCCTCCACTCTCCCACAGGCTTCCGGAACTCTCTCCCCAACAGCACTAAGGTGCTCTCCCTCCACTCTCCCACAGGCTTCCGAAACTCTCTCCCTAACAGCACTAAGGTGCTCTCCCTCCACTCTCCCACAGGCTTCCGGAACTCTCTCTCCCACAGTCTTTTAGCTCTGTCCCACAGCGCACGCTTAGACACAATTATCTCAGTAAATTATTATGGTGAAAGTGTCGTTGGTTGGCTTATCTCCCTTGATCATCACCTTCTCTTCTACTTCCCATGTTTAACAGCTCTCTCTCTCTCCTCTCTTATCACTCCGCTGTTCCTGTTACATTACCCACATAGACTCGTATATTTTTGTATCAGTTATTATCCCTGCACTTCTGGTTATTCTCCGCGCGTCTTCCAAGTGTGTGGTAACTTTGTTTACATTCTGCCACCAAGTACCGATAAGTGCTCGTCGTTCGTCCTGGAAGTGTTAAATGACTGGTCCTTGTTCGTCCTGTATGTGTTTTATGATAAACTGGATCGTCCTGGATGTGTTATATTATAAACTTGATCTTGTTCGTCCTGTATGTGTTATAAAGTGAACCTTGTTCGTCCTGGATGGGATATATGATAAACTGGACCTTGTTCGTCCTGTATGTGTTATAAAGTGAACCTTGTTCGTCCTGCATGGATGTGTTATATGATAAATCAGGACCGTGTTCGTCCTGGATGTGTTACATATTATAAACTGGACCGTGTATCTTGTCTCTCATTTATCCTCTGTGGTACATTTCTCTCTCATTGTACACTGAACAATCTGAAATACTTGTAAGGGGTAAACCAGCTGATCTCGCATCCTATATCCTCGTCCAGTCTGGGACAGATCTCAATGTCGTATTAATGTCAGCGAACTGTGTAACCAAGAACACTATTGTATCGAAAATTAAATAATATTAATACATTTAATAATGTTGTGGATAGTTAGACTTAAGAGAGGTTTGCTGTTCTGCTTCTGTTGGCAATTACTCAACCCGTCCTCAGACAAAGTTCATTCCATCCAGTGGTCGACCCCAAATACGCATTTATCAACTTTAACTTGCTGTTCGTTAAAAACAGGAGTTTTCTCACATATAAATTAATATTGTTATATATTAGCATATTGTGCATATTTAGGCATTTGTTAGGTTAGGTGTTTAGGTTCTGTTGGCGATTATTTGTATTTGTAGTACGTGGGTGAAGCATTTACAACGTTGTGGTTCGAGCAAAATTCGTCAGTGAAGCACTTGTTCCGGAAGTGTTCGAACGCCAGCAGTTGTGAGTCGTGTGTAAACCGTTTTTCACTCATTAACCAGCCCGTCCTCCAAACAAACTCAAAAGTGATTCCATCCACCCGCCAAACCCCAGCTGTTTATGAATGAAAAACGGTTTACACACGACTCGCAGCTGATGACGTTCGAACACTTCCGGAACAAGTGCTTCACTGACGAATTTTGTTCGAACCACAACGTTGTAAATGCTTCACCACGTACTACAAATACAAATAATCGCCAACAGAACCTAAACACCTAACCTAACCAGTGCCTAAATATGCACAATATGCTAATATATAACAATATTAATTTATATGTGAGAAAACTCCTGTTTTTAACGAACAGCAAGTTAAAATTGATAAATGCGTATTTGGGGTCGACCACTGGATGGAATGAACTTTGTCTAAGGACGGGTTGTGTGTAAACCGTTTTTCATTCATAAACAGGGGGTCTGGCGAGTGCATGGAATGGACCTCGGCCTTTGATTATGAGGAGACTAACTATTCAACACAATCAAGTATGTAATAATATTTCTTTATATATGAAAAAATACAAATTTTGAATGCGTAGTAATGTTAAACTGTACCCCCAGTGGTCTTTAAACTATGAAATATAAATTTGTTATGAACTAGTTCCATACAGTTTTCATTTGTCCACCCTGTCCTCAGGCTAGGGATGACCAATCAGGGCTGATCCCACAAACGCATTCATCAGTGTTAAACTAATTAGCTGCAGACCTCACCCAAAGAAAACGTTGGCAATATGCTGTACAAGCGGAAACTATACTAAATATAGAAGAGGCGTTGCGCTAATAGCTACACGTTTTGGCGTTCAGCCAAGACGTAATATGACCTGTAATTCCAAAACAGTTTTCCATCCACTTTATAATAATAATGAGAAAATCCACTGGGCGCGATGCGAACCTTTGACCCCGGCATTGCCAGTCGCGTACTCTACCACTAGAACACCACTGTGTTGTAAAACTTACGCAACCGGATTTCTAATGAAATCACATGAAGTCTGGAGGTCCTTACTGAGCCAGTCCAACGTGCTTATCTCAGAAGCTAGACATAGATATATAAGCATACTTAACAAGGGAAGTAAATATAAAAAGGTAGTGGATTCCTTCTTACAACTCTATGCGAACTAGTTCGCTATGCCCGAAACATTATGCGTACTAGTGGCTTTAGGTATTGTATGTACTACCTCTATCTTTAAATCTAACAGAATGTTTGTACTGTAACTCTGCAACTATGTATGTACTTTTCCTAAATAAATTATTATTATTATTTTTATTATTATTATTATTATTATTATTATTATTATTATTATCACATTTCCCTGCAGTAACATGATAAAGTTGACGCCCTTCCTAAGGTTTCAGTAAATAAAGACAATATTAAACGGAATCTTGAGTCATCAAATAGGTCCCTTAAAAGTGTCATTAGACGAGAACTCTTGCATGAATTAGAAGAAAGTAGAACACTGTAAACTGAAACTAGCAGGTCCATTGTTCATCACAATGAAATGTGTGAAGTCAAACATGTGTATGGGGCAAGTAACAAAATAAGTAGACTAACAGATGTTGTCACGGCTCGTATAAGACTTGGCTACAAGTATCTCTGGCAGTTCGGCTTGTATAGGGATCTAGATGAAGTAAAGTGTAAAGTGTGTGGACAAAGACAGGGACACACACTCGAACACTATATCTTGGATTGTAGTAAAATTGAGCCATTTAGAGATAAATCTAAATTCAAGTTGTATATGGCAACCTATCTTATTACTAAGGATTAAATACCTGAAATCCTTGAACTGTATATATATTTCGCTCCCAGTAGATAAACGACATATGAGATTAAGAAACAAGTAGTGTATTGTGAAGACTAATAATAAACAGCAGCTTCCCTATGACTGTAATATCTCCATTGCTCAAACAATTATGTATTAGCGATAAGACCTATCATTACTGTAAAATAACTTTCTGCAAATATATAGCTCTTGAAATAGAACATTCTCTGTAACTAGCTGACATTGTAACTATAAGGTGTGAAGGTAAGAGGAAATTGTTCATGTAATAATCTAAGATAAGGTCTGATAAAAGACCTTTTGTGCCCTCTGTAATGCTTTTTGCGCTACCGCTCACAGCGTGAGTATGGGGTGCACAATAAACTAGCCGCCTCCGGCGGCAACAATCAAAGCCCACAAGCATTCTGGTGAAAGGTCAGAGTGGTCCCACACCTTACACCCAAACTTCAGAAACACAGAAATTACAATAACCTGATATATTAGCGAGACTGCACTTTAGTATTATTTGTTATTTCATGCAAATGATAGCATGGGGGGCCTTTCCCTACCTTCCCCCTCTCCCCCTATGACTGTCCCCCAACAATCACCAGTTATCCTGCAAAGTTTGACGAGGCTAGCCTCAAGTCTCTGCTCTACAACTTTTTAAAGACAAATAGATCTATTTAACTGACCTCAAGCGTGCAAGCTGTCCACTATAACCTGCAGGCTGTGTCGTACAGAGCGTTGTGCTTGCTGTGTCGTACAGAGCGTTGTGCTTGCTGTGTCGTACAGAGCGTTGTGCTTGCTGTGTCGTACAGAGCGTTGTGCTTGCTGTGTCGTACAGAGCGTTGTGCTTGCTGTGTCGTACAGAGCGTTGTGCTTGCTGTGTCGTGCAGAGCGTTGTGCTTGCTGTGTCGTGCAGAGCGTTGTGCTTGCTGTGTCGTACAGAGCGTTGTACTTGCTGTGTCGTACAGAGCGTTGTGCTTGCTGTGTCGTACAGAGCGTTGTACTTGCTGTGTCGTACAGAGCGTTGTACTGCTGTGTCATACAGAGCGTTGTACTTGCTGTGTCGTACAGAGCGTTGTACTTGCTGTGTCGTACAGAGCGTTGTGCTTGCTGTGTCGTACAGAGCGTTGTGCTTGCTGTGTCGTGCAGAGCATCTCTGCTCAGAGATACTTCCGTTTGGAAGAGACACTACAAACGGAGCAGAGAAAGTTGAATGTAAATTATTTTGTTAAATTTTCTTTACACAAAATATAATATTAGTTGCATCTAACAATTACTATCCATATTCACAAATTAACCAAACCTCTTTATCCGAATTTCTTCCACTCTCAGCTGGCTGACAACAGCACCAAGCGTTGCCACCCTACAGACTATCCTAAGGTCCTTACATAATCCACTCTTAAATCCCGGCCCATGACTCGTGATCACTAACACAACCTGCGCTACTACACTCCCAACTGCATGGATATTTCCTTACACCACACACACACACACTCACTACTCCCACTCTCCCCTTAATGGCTTCTTGCTTCATAATAGATGCAGTTTGAGGGAAGGTTTCTCTTCCCGGTGACTGCAGGAGAGGTGATGGCAGACGCTTCATTTTGGCTCGGTAAACCTGTTCATTTAGGAGCCAGGGCGGAACAAGAGCCGGATGTGCCTCGGCGTTCCCGTG